TGCTGGGTGATTTGGTCATAGGCTGTAAATAAGATGACGACATTCAAATACCTGAGTCGATAGGTCAGCCACCTATTTTCTGTACTGCTTCCCATTACCCATACTGGTGACTGTCTCCAGACAGGTCTGAGAGAGGCACGGGGAGAGGCATGTCGAGACAGACAGAGAGAGGGATGGAAATATAGACATGTGGAGAGACACGGAAATGGAGGGAGACTACTTTGGCTGTCCTCAGTGAAATGGGGATTCCACATTTGTACACCACACACACACACAACAGCATGGCAATGGGTGTCTTGCGTCCTTGATAATCTCCGCGTGATCCACCAACCCCAGCTCAAGAGCAGTAACAAGACCTAACGAACACATCACACGCCGCCGTGTGCAGTATACAAAGTGCGCTGCACATTGGTAAAAAAAAAAAATTTGATCACACATTTTTTTGATCACACATTTCTGCATAAAGTGGACATTTCAGTGTTCATGCGTTCTTGTAAGCACTTCATAATGAAAGCGTTACAGCTTGCCAAAGAGAGTGGCAAGGAGGAAATGTGGAGGCGACCGGGGCACGCTCACACGGCACACAGGTGGCACGTTCTTGTCAACTCAAAAGCACAGTTGTGTTCAAATAACGGTGTCCATGTAAACACGCGGCATTGCCAGCGTCGGCGGCGTCTGGACGGCGTTTGGACTTCCAGGTGAGGCTGCAGCAATGCCCCTTTGCGACAGGAGCTCCGAGTGGGGGGGGGGGTGCCCACGGTAATCACGGCGATCTAAAAAAAACGCGGCTATGATGTTTTGTGGGTGGCTAGCAAATTAGGCTCCTTCCGTTTTCCTGATACAATATCCCCTCGACCGTGCTCTCAGAACACTTGGCCAAGCGCTTCCCCAAACGGGCCCGACCGCCTCCCTCCTCTGCGATCTCCCCACCACCACCACCAACCCTCCCCTATCCCTGCACAAACCATCCCATCTACCCGTGGCTCACCCAGCTGTTAGGAGCCGTCAGTCAGGCGGACGCGGCTTGAGAAGCCTTCATTCTTCTGTCCTGTCAAACAAATCAAAGTTCACAAGCTGGTTCGCGGCTCCGTCTGGCGCGTCTTGCTCGCTCACGTCGGCTGCGAACTTCTCAAGGCGCTAGCACCGAAGGGCTACAGGACATCTGCTGTGCCTGTGCACGCGTAACACACGCGTGCGTGGATTCGAGAAAGAAAAAGCCATGATGTGTGTATTTGTACAGCAATGCATATATATTCATATATGAAGCCGCAGGCCCCCACCGCTTAGATATGTAGACCAATGGGATGTGCTGTTAGCGAGCAGCTATTATGGTTGGCACAGCGCGATGACGGGGTAGTGTCGCCAGCATCATGCCCCCCCTCCCATCCACAACGGCAATGTTTATACATCGCACGAGGTAGTCATCTAAGGCTGAGTCAACTTAGAGGGAGGATAAGTTTTGATATCACTCTTGATCCGAGCCGTGGCCAAGAATCGAAACAAGGTCACCGGGTTTGTTGCACATTGTCCTAGTCACTGCACCACCACTTCCCACATATACACACACAACATATTCGAATCATTTGGAGAATGAATAGGCGACCACAGGTGCAACCAGAAGCGGAGGCACGGTGGTTAGCTCACTGCACTGTGAAATCAGAGACCCGAGTTAGATTCCTGGCCGCGGATAGCATAGGTGGCAAGTGATATCTGAACCGCTCGTGGGCCTCTGTTTCACTCACACTTCTGGCTGCCATGGTGAGGAGCGCCACGGTGGCTAGATGTTAACTCCCTCGCTAGGTGTACAGGAGGTCGTGGGTTCGATCATGAACCTGACGCCTGCTGTATACTTGCAGTTTGCGTGTCTCTCTCTTCCCGTGGTCGCGTGGATTTATCTCCGGGTCCTCCGGGGTTTCCCTCCACATTTAGAAACACGCGTTTAGAGTATTTGGCTGCTATACATTTCCGTAAAATTATAAGCCACTTCGTTGAGCTATCATTTGTAGCTAGGCCACTTGTGAAAAAGAGCTATATATATATCTCTCAGTGGGCCTTACCTGGCAAAAAAAGTTTAATAGTTTAGGAAGTATGGTCAAACAGCCCCCCATGAGTAAGCGACATGGAATTGGGAGTAGCTTCGTCCAACAGTGGATTGACCAAGGACTGTGCCGCATTATTTATTAAATTATTTTAAAGCTATGTGTTAAGATGCACGTTCACCATTGCAGTTTTCAGCGTGCTCATTCGTAATTGTTTTCACATCAAATATTTTAGTATATAAATAGTGCATAAGCGCACATGGAGCTTACACAGTAAATTTGGGCGTTTAAAATATATATCTCCTAAATATTTGACTGCCTCTCGTTTTTACTGAATTGTTTAATGTTGCACACATCCATATTGATCATCTGCACTCCTATCGTTGTAACTCGTGCCTCTCAACGTGAGAGGTAGGCCAAACATTTTTGAAAACAAGATGTTAAAACAAATTAGAACCGTTATCCACCCAGGAAAGCCTCGCTGAGTCTCACTGTTATTGTTCAGGTGGGCAGGTGGCTCAGTAGTCAGAGTGCTTAGCTGGCACCACTGAGAAAACGTGGGTTCAAATCCAGGCAGCCATCTGTTATTAAACTGGGTTCTCAGGTGCAGAGATTTGATGAGCACAGCCTGGTTACCAATGGCTGCACAAAAAAAGGATCACGTTAAATGTGGTTCTATGCTTAGCTTGGCTAATTTTAGCTCTGGGAATTAACGTCGATTGAACGAAATATCACTGTCTCTCTGCTGTCCCCTGCTGTGTGTAGATCTCAGAAGTGGTTCTGTGGTCTCTGATTCGTGTGGGCTGTGGCCAGAGATCTGAACGGATTCATCTCATTACACACCAATATCACAATTGGAATATAATTAGGGGGAGGGGGGGGAGATAGAAAAAAGTATTCTTAATGAGGGTCCTGCATTGTAATGTTTGTTGTTTGTACGATTCCACAAACGGGCATTTGGCTTGTGTCCCGCATCCAACACTTTTCAACCATCTTTCGAACCTACACGTCAATGTCACAACACTGGGTCAGGGGACTTTGTCAATTTAAATAAACATTCGAGGACAATAGCGGTGGGGCATCACACGACAGAGTAAAGCATGGGGAGGGGGTCTCCACTTGATATAGACGGGGTGGGTGGTGAGTGGTATCGTGATGACCCCCAACGGAGAGGCAGCTTCCAGCCTCGCCGAGCAGGCTGGGGGGGGGGTGCATCGCTGAAAGAAACAGCCACACTTGGCATTGCTGAGAAAGTGGCCACACTTTCCTCCGCAGTCACGCTGGCATCCTAGTGACGAAACTCCACGGGCGATTTGTAAAATTGGTCTGTGTTTTCCCTCTTTGTGTGCATCACTCATAGCTGATTGACATTCCATGACTGCGTCTCATCTGCAGCTTTACAAGAAAATCCCAATCTTCCAAACAGCTCAATGGTGGAGCTGCTTTGAAGTGAAAACTAATCAAAAATCTCAATTTATCTGATTGGTTTGTAGAAATCGATGCCACACAGTATGGCATGGGAACAATAATGACTCAAAATCTGAGAGCGCCAGGGCTCACTATTTATGACGAGCCACAGTCAATATGCACTGCTTATTTGTTTGATTAATGCATTGAAGCGTATTTTATGCATTCTTACGTGCGATCCAAAAAAACTGGCAGATGCATTAAAAAAAATACATCACATCGCAAGTTTTAATATTTGTAATCCAAAGTAAGGCCTCCGTGCTTCTGAAAGATTAACGTTTATGTTATGACAAAAAAAAATGCTGCAGAATGGTAACAGTTAGTGTACAAAATTTTTATATTAAATACTGGTATTAGATTACACAGTGGAATTACATTCCAGTGGCGTGCATATTTGTTGCACTTCAGCAGGAATGTCATGTGGAGGATAAAACCTGTGGCTTGCTACAACACCGCGTTTCTTTTCCAATCGCTGTAGTTTAGTCTAACCGAGCTGGGACCGTTCCAGAACGTCTGACGGGATAAAAAGGTTTATTATCAAATGCCTGCCAACCCTCATCTCTCCCAGTTCAGGCTCATCTCCCATCAATCAGTCGGCTAGCCACGGGAGAGCAGCTGGGAATCTGACAACTGACACGTTTCAGCCTTGCTCTGACTCAACTAATCAAAGAGTGTCAATACGGAAGATATTTTGAAATGCCTCACTGTGTCAAAGGCTCACCTTCTCAGAATGTAATCTGTGGCATGGTGCAGCGCTCCCTGTGATCTCATTATTCTCCATCTCCTTCTGTTTCAACTTATTGTCCCCTCCCTGTCACATGTGTAAGCGAAGCGCTACATTCCGGGCACCACTATGTTGCTGAGGGTGAGGAAGGAGAGAGAGAAGCGGAGCGATGGTTGGGATCAGGGGGCGGGAGTGATGGTGGTGGGTTGTGTCTTTTTGTTCAGAAGCTCAGAGCTTTCTTCAACTTTCCCTCAAGATCTGCGTTCTGATTAAAAGGCCTCTGGACAGAGTGAAGGACAGAATAATGGCTGCAAGAAATATAGAGGTTACACGTGTGTGCTTTGCTTCCATAATGCACTTGCTTTTTGTAGATCATGAGTTGTGCGGGTTTTTTCTGGGCCGAGGCACAGTGCCAGCGCACCTGTGACCTTCAATTCATCCTGGTTAGAAGCTGCCCTTTGTGATCATCAAGGCTGGCTGGTGCCATAACACTTTGCTGCAGACTCCCACCAGCCAAGGTACAATTGTGGCGATGGTGAAAGTGTTTTAAATATATCACTCAGCTTAGCTCGGGAGAGAACCGTGAATATCAAATTATAGGAAATGTTGTTTCGAAAACACGCACGTGCAAATTAATTCGGGAGATACGTTATCCCTTGAAAATACCACATAAGCTACAAAAGAAAAAGCCCCTGGCTTCTGATGTCATGTTTTGTTTCCCAAGGACAGAATCTAACGAAGAGCCTACGAAAAGAAGACAAAACATAGCATGCCAGTAAACATTCTCAGTTTATTAGCCGATGTAGCAAAAAAGGGTTGATAACAATACAGTCTTTACATAACATAAAAAGAACATTTTTTTTAGAGTTGTGCTTGAAAAAAGTCTAAATATAATATATTCATATAAATGATCCATTCATTTTGTGTTTTTTTTAAATAAGTGCAGATTAAGACTGTGTACATGTTCTGGCCTAATCAATCATTGGAAGCCATTTTACTCATTCAACATCAGTAACTGCAGTTTTTTTAAAACAATGGCGGCAAATATACAGTAACTGCATGAAAATAAGTTGGGGCAATAAACATCCTTACTTACAGTTACATGGAATGTTCTGAAATCCCAAACCTGCAAAATGTGGCCTATTTTTTATGTCAAAAGCAATATGTGGCATTTTTTTTGCTTTTATTTTTTTCGTTTTTTTAATATATATATTTTAATTTCCCTTCATTAAAAAGCCCAAACGAGGGCGTACATTGTTAACCAGTAATATTACAGTAGATCTCTTGAACATAAAAGCTGAACATTTTACCATGCAAGTTTGAACTGATAACCACAGGAGTACAGCATTTTGTGACATCAGTTAACTACCGTACGTATCACACAGCCTGACTACATCTCTAGCCATACACTTCATACAATCAAGCCTACTGCATACCAGGGCTTAACTCGATCACATTAGCAAAGTCTCAATTTACTGCAGATGACTGACAGCATGGTACATCTATTGGATAAAAGTACGCTACACGAAGCAGGCATCCATTTGTGCAAAAATCGAATAGAATTATAAAATATCGGCAAATGCAGAGAGATTTTTTTTTTGTACCGGTATGAAAACATGCCTTTTAATTAACAGCTTAATTCTATCTACAAAAGAAGTTACAAGGCCTTATGAAAATTGTCCACCATCATTTGTGGCAGTGCATTTTTTGGAACATGTTGAAACATGGTTCATGCCCCACGCCAGTGGCTTTCATTAACTTCCCTTCCCTTTTAATTTGGCCACAAATGGAGATCAGCAAGGCTCAGTTTTGAAGTGCACACATACAGTACAGTAAGGTACATACATTGAAAGTATTTTATTTTTTTACAAATGAACAGATCTGTACACTAAACTGCTCTTAAGAGAGTCTTTTTTTTTCCTCCTTGTTTGTTTTAGTATATATAATGGCCTTTTTTTGATGTTAAACAAAATGACAAATTGGTGTAGCCTTCATTGTTCACAGTAAATGCTGTCACGGGTGTTTATGCATTCATCACTAACGTGGCTGCGAGGGACACAGCTGCCGCCGTGTCCTCTGATAACCATCATTTCACAAAATAATCTAAATGACATTCGCCCTCATCTGCTGCTGATTTGACTTCGAAGGAACAGCATCATATCTCTTGTTGGGGTGCCCTCCCCACCACCACCACCACCCCTCACGCCACCGTTGTCGCGCTCTTGTAAGGATTGCACAACACCTGTACGTCAAAGCCCATCCTCGATCCTTGCAGGCAGAGCTCACGTCTGCACCGTCTGCATTCAGAGGGGTGATTGATGGACGGTGACAAACACAAAGGCTGCTGGCGTGCTACCTTGGAGAATCCGTATCAGGTGGCACAAAAGGTATATATTTTCACATGCCTCATTACACACTAATGGCAAAGCATCAATTCTTCTCCCCCCCCCCCCCCCCATTTATTTATTTATTTGCCCTCTCTCTCTTTGTATGTGTGTCTGCGCTGAAAGGATGAAACATTTCTCCGGGATGCAGCGATGTAAAGAAACACAGGAATTTGTGCTCGGCTTCTTGGCAACAAACAGCAAAAGGGTGTCTGCAATCTGCACCATCTTGTCGCGTTTCCGCGGAGTGACAAAGAGCTCAAGCCTTTCAGTCTGGGCCGCCCCGTTCCATCTCCACTAAATCCGCCACACGAGATGCGAAGACTGATGGGCAAGGTGAAGGACACCTGTAAGGCTAAAAAAAACAAGCCACAAATCTGTTTTATGCCACCTGAAACACCTGCACGTCCAAGCTTGCAGAAGCTGGCGGTGGGGAGCGGGCGGGTGGATGTGGAAAAAAATAAATAAATACACAGAGGCAGCTGACAGTTATTTTTTTTCTTCTTCATGTGGGTGTCACCTGCTTGTCCCGTACATCTGAAAGGTTCATAGGCCTCCGCTAAGTGTGAGGCAGAACCGCCAGTGGTTTTTGCCGTCCCCACAATCAGCGCGTTACTGACCTCCCGCCGGCTTGAATGTCCTTGAAATCAGCGCCGTGGATGCGCCTCGAACTTGCAGCCTTTGTTCTATTCTTCATTCAGACAGAGATCTGCTAAAAGAGGTCACTTGTACCTCGGTGTGGAACGTTTTAAGCTGCGATATATTCTCTGTTTCCACTTATACATCGATTGATTCTGTTCAAATAAGCATTTTAAACACCTTGCGATGATCAATCACGGCGGCGGCTGCTGCATGCGAATGATTGAGCCCTTTTTGATGCGGGTCCACTCCCTCTCCGACATGTTGCAATGTAAGGTTGATTGTGTCCCGGAACAAGTGGTCATATAACACAAATAAATTTCCTCGGGAAAAGAAAGCTTCATAAGGCCGGTAAAAAATTACACTTCAGTCTGGACAGTATTACTGATATATGGAGCTGGATATTGCGCGCTCTCTCCCTATCCTGCAGCAGCACTGCAAATTTGTCAAATTAATACATCAGAGGCCATGAAGGCGCAGTTAGGCGTTTGACTGAAGCACTTCCAGCCCGCGGAAAGGAACGATTTATCAATGCAAACTTAATAACTGCTATTTCCATCTAACTAAAAATCAATATTTCATTACCAAATTGTTAGCGGGAATGAAGAAAAATTGCCAAAGTCTGGCTGATCTGGGAGGCCGAAGCGTCGGGCGGTTCAATCTGGAGACGAAGTGATTCATGGCCGTGAGGCCGCGGAAGGGCGGGAAGGGCCAGACGGCTGCGACTCTCGCACCCTTACGCTCTGACCTTGAAAGGAAAAAGGGGGGGAGAGGAGGAAAGAAAATGAAAGTAACTGTCGATTTCTGCTTCATGGAGAACAATCAATCAGACAGAGGAATCAAAGTGCGCAAGATTGCTGGGAAGAAAGTTTTTTTTTAGTTTTTTTTTTACCTTTTTTTCAGGTGAATTTATAGATGCGGTTTAGATTGGTCTGCATGATGTCCACATCACTGATAAGCTCTTGTTCAGTTTCTCATCAGGGAGGGCTCTAAACCTGATTAACAGCCGTATTTCACCCTGAGCGATCCGACTGCTGTGACCCACGCCACATGTAACATTTTCGAGCCGCTGTACCCTTGCCAACAAGGACGGTATCTGCGCCATCCACTGTGCTGCCACCTGGACAAAAAGGCTAAGCAAGAACGCATTCTGCGGAAACTAAAAAAAAACACAAAGAACAAATACTCGACTGTTCAACAAAGCTAATTGGGTCTGAATTCAACAGCATATTTTTGTGTCTGATGTTACATGAATGCTCATGCTATAAGGGCTTCAACTCCTGAAGCGTGACATTTTACACCAAATCAAACATAAAAGCTCCTTGATGTAAAAAAAAAACTCCGGCCGTACTTTTGTAAGGAGTAAACACGAAACTTGCTCACAAAGAAAGTACAAATTATTTTAACAAGCACTTTTTTAATTTCTACACCTGAAATCGGATACTAATGTGTGCTTTCCAAGTACGGAACCCTTCCTATGCTTTCAATGGATATGGATTTTATTTCACCGGGATTCAGGATTGTCTTCTAAATCCAGAAACTTAACCATTGTGTTATGTTATCCAATCATTTTAAGCTTGGATAATTTCCATGCTGCTTGCCTTCTTTGTGCTGAGAATGAGGTTGATAAACGCTGGAAACCAAATGCTCAGACACAAGTGGTGGTGGTGGTGGCCGTGGTGGCAAAATACAAGCAGGTGGGTAGTGTATTTTTTTCGTATTACCTTCCCAGCAAAAATGGCATATTATTGCATTTTGAAAACATTCTTATATTTTTTACAATAATCCATTTTTCGGTCTTTCTCCTGTAGACTCATTAAAATGCTTACAACACAGCCAGTTAAACACACACACATATTACATATATTAAATCTCACTTGTCTTGATTTCTTCGTTTTAAATTTTTTGCAGGAAAAGTTAAATAATAGCAAAATATGCAAAGCAGACTATCGAATGAGAATATGCATAATCCCACGTCTGATCAATGAGCAAGTGCATTAGCGGCCATGAGTGCAATTGGTCACAATAAAACATCAGGTTCATTATGTGGTCCTTTTTCCGCATCTTATTGCGACCTTCATTTTACTTTGCAAATAAACCCGACCGACAGTGACGAAAATTGCCAAAAATGTGCATTCTTAATTTTGGGCCATTTTCAAATTGCCCTGCAAATTCATCTCAACTTACTTTCCACTCATCTACGTTTTTTTTTCCTCCAGGACTTTCTGTTTTAAACACGTGTGTTTATTCCCACATGGAAAAATATGTTTTTGATTTTTGCAGTGCAGCTCTCTGATAAATTGCCACTGCGGCGTTTCCGGCCAAGACCCTGACATTTAGAGCCGGCGGTTTGCATATAGCCATACACTGACTAATTACATAGCCCCAACGCCGGAATGTCCAATTAGGCCAGGCCTTTTAAACTCCTTCCATCAGCACGGCTAAAAAGAAAAGTAGTCTGAAAATGCATCATACATTTCATTAAAGCCTTCGCTCTGCTCCAATTACTTTCCTTCATTTCTGTTAATTGCATGTGACTGATTTGAGTTTAATATGCTGTTGAGATGAGGCAATCTAATGTCTTGTCGAGCCGCCTTCATTACGAGACAATGAGCAGTGGGGAAGAATAGCACCTCCCAGTCGTTTCATCCGCTCGCTCGTTATTAGCACCCCCTTGCACAGTAATGATGGTTAGCCTGCGCTCCCAAGCAGCAGCAGCAGCCTCCGTGGCCAGGCCAGCAATTGGGAACCTCTAAGATCCACATGTTCATCATTACAGTGGTGCGGTTATTTTGCTTAAAGCTTACACGGGGCACAGTCATTTATTAGAAACAATCGGGACGCTACCCGTTTCAGCCAATTATCATTGTGGATAACAGGTCAACCATGAAGCCGTGCCAGCCCTCGTTCACAAAGCGCACGACGCTGCTCAATAAAGCGCGGAATCTTTGATCTTTGCGCAACGAAAGATCGGCTTGGTTTGTATCCAAATTGGAGTGAATATTAAGGTTATGCATGCAGTGGTTTTTCGTCTATGTGCCCTAAAGGCATTTTAATGAGCAATGGACAACACTCAAATCACCAAATCATCCATGAACACTTTTCACTCTTATGATCGTAAGAGTTCAATCTGATCATACTGGTCTATTTAACAAAATTAAATATGACCAAAACAATAACTCATCAGTGGTATTTTTGTTCTCTTTTACACCAATACCAAAATATTGAATGAAACTATTTGTAAAAGAAAACCCGATGGCTTTTACTCACCTCCGATGAGGTAGCATCCACAAGTTACATCACACACATATGCTTTGTATGATATTCATTTTGCTATTAATCCAATCAAGCAACATCTGGCCCTTATTTCTGATACAATTCAAGGAATAGATATATGTGTATATATATAAATAATCCTTACATGCTTTATTCAGGTGCATCATGATGATTATTATTTTTGGACCGTCTAATCTTCTGATACGATGGCCGATTTACATCAGCCGCGTTATTTTGCGTGTTCGCCCGTCCGTGATGGGGCAGCGGCCGCGTCGTCGGCACCTCGCGAGCGGGCGCCGAAGACGCGGCCCCGTCTGTGCCGCGCTCGTGCACCACGCTCGTACACCGCGGCGGGTCTGTTGCGCACGGCACGGCACGCAGCGGTGCAGTTGCGGTGGCCCCGGCACAGTTTATTAGGTTTGAATAACACGACAGAAGGTGTCAATGCCGTTAGGCGCTGCCGGTCGTGGAAGCCTGACTCTACTAAAATCCAATTACGGCGAACGAACGGAACTCTCGCTCGCTCGCACCGCCGCCGCCTCCCCCTTTCAGGGGCGACGGCGCGGAGTTCGCACGCTCACAAACGCACGCACGCTCATGTATGTACGTACGTTGAACTTCTTTCGCACCGTACGTAGCCAACCGTGCTTAATCGGAGGTGTGGGGCAAGGACAACAAGCTAAAAGGCAAAAAGCAGTTCTAAAGAAACGAGTTTTCAATCTAGGTTTAAAAGTGTATCGCTCCAGTGGCTTCCTAATGCCATGCACGCGTGTGCAATCGGCACACACGCAAACTCATGTATGTATGTACGTTGAACTTCTTTCGCACCGTACGTAGCCAACCGTGCTAATCAGAGGTGCGGGGGAAGGACAATAACGAGGCACACTTTCCGCACACCGCACTGGACATACGCACTTGGATTCCTTACCTTTGCTGCGACTCTCCGACATGCCCGTGGATGAGTGACAGGCCGTTCCCACTCACGTTTCCACCACCGCTTTGTTTGTTGTATCTTTATTCATCTCTATGTTGCGAATGGTTTTCTGTAGCATTATTGCATCTATAAGAATATCGTTTTTAAAAGTACACCTTGAGTTAAATTCATAAATACCCGACAGAGAAAATATGCCCCCCCCCCTTTTATTGGTGTAAATATTTAAGAATTTTAAATGAAAAAGTACAAACGGCGGGTATTTGTTGCTCAACACAAGTAATTTCTCATCGTCAATTTTACAGCATGGGCTTCGAATGCATTTTTCTATAATTAAAGTTATCAAAGTACACTCAGTTACAGGCTTTTTTGGTTTGTTTGCCATTTGGCGGTAATGTCCTGTTACCCCTACAGGCAACAGCCTCATATTATGCATCACATCAGTATAGCAATCAATTTATATCCCTGCAGAGAGTTTTCTACCATAAAAGGGGGTCAATATCAATTGCATTTTGGTAGATAAATAGATAGCTAGGGATCCCATTGCTATGGTTAATTTAAACTTCAGGCCCTGGGCTTTTGAATTGTTTCCAGAACAGCCGATCAATGCTGTTTTGACCGTCATGTTTCCTCAATCTATTTTACGCTACCTATAATGGAGGGATTTTTTTTATTTTTCTTGGCAAAATGTATACCCAGCACATTCTGACCGGAAGTTTATTGGATTTTAATTGTCTTGCAAACTAAAACTTAATTTCAAATGCTATTCACAAACTATTGCACGTTCCAAGCAAGTTGTGCGGCGAATCATTCTGGTTGTTAGCCCACAGGTTAAAAAAATGCACGCCAAACAAAGACGCTGCTCATTGCCAGGGTGAAAACCGTGCACAAATAAAACACGAGGCCTTCCCTCTGTCATCGCTGAACACTATACATTTTGTTTTCATTTCAGCCAACTTTGAAATCTACATTTTGCATCCTTAAAGCTTCCTTAAATATTTGAGAAGACGAAACGTAGCAGAAATGTTCCATTCCTTTGTTGTCTTTAGCACTCATTCATTATATATTAAATGAAATGTATTATACATGGGCAACTGCTGGTGCTACTATCAAACTGAATCCAGTACAAGTATTGCATGTTTATGTGGTTATGGCCTAATGCCATTTACATTTTTATTTTGCTGGGATTTTTTTCCCCCATTTAGTCCAGACACGATCTCGCTATTGCAGCGGCGATACATCACTCTGTCTCATGTAGTTAAAATTAGCACGACAGGTTTCGTTCGCGCGCGGCAGCCACTACAATTTCGCGTGGAAGTGCATTTCCTCCTTCCGTTGTTTTTTTGTTGTTGTATAAATTCCTCGCCAACCTCTCTCTCTCTCGCTCTCCAAAACACTGAAGAGACCCCCCCCCCCCCGTTTTAATTTACAGAGCAAAAAAAAATCTCACTATCGAAAAAAGTAAACATCCCCCCCCCCCCGTCTCACAGGCCATGATGTACCTGTGCGCAGATAATTGCGCTCGGCAATGAGAGCGGGTG